TGAAAGGCTTTTTTATGATCAAGGTTGATTATTGAAATAGAGTAGTTGCTACTAATTTGATTGCAAAATTTAATAGGATTTGCCGAAACTATTGTCCTTTCATGTATATAAACCCGTGGAAGTGACAGGAGACTAGCTCTGCTGGGAGTCGGACACTGTAGACTTTCCTGATGGAGAGACGCCGAGCGCGCGAGTTGTTATAGATAAAATATATTAAGCAGTAGCATCACTTTTTGCAGTCCTTTTGCGCTGGGATTAAACAAAGTTAGATCTTGTTTAAATTACTAGATCTAATATTTACGATTAGCAGCAATAAAAAGCCCAGAGCTACTTACCTAGGATTTTTTCCCACAGATTAATTCGAGAAAAAGTTTCTTGTGTTGACCAGTCAAGAAGAACCAAAGAAAATGACATTGCTTCCGTGACAACAGGAATGTATGATATACTAACAGCAGGTTGGTAATATAATACCTGAATTTTGGCATTAAGTGCGTCTTCAATTAACTCAGTGTGACATCAAAGCGAAATACATGTTGACGATATATGAAGTCTATTCTAATTAGTTTATTCCAAATTCCAATTCGACCAGGAATCAGGTAGACGAAGAACCACTCAGTGGATGTGCTATATACCTCTAAATCATTATTTAATTATTTATTCATGTATTTATTATTTATTCACTCAAAGTTATTTTGAAGATTTAACATTAGACGATATCAGACTTGCCAGATTTAGAAGATTTCTGATAGGAATCGTAAGCAATGTGCCCTGCAATGTGCGCGTTCATCAGTGCAATAGCTACTAAATGAATGAGCCCACCAACTTGACAGCCAGCATCCTCTGGAGTGCTACATATTGTTAAAAGTGACTTAGGTTTAGTCAGGGACACCCAACGACGGTTTTCTCCTAAATACATTGGAAAAACTTTTTAGGCTATCCAGAGTATTTTAAGATATCTAGAAATGCACTCTTTTCGGCGCTATAAAATTTGTATGTACGTGTTCGGTCATCCTAGTGGAACTTTCGTCCTTTGGAAATGACAAGGGCTTGAGAATTTTTTGTCCCAAAAATTTGGGTGAAATTTGAGATACAACGAAAATTAGACATTCCAGCTTAATTTTTAACGCCATCCCATTTTTGAATCGGAAAATTTTAGGTTCCCTTTTCTGTATTGAAAAAATGGCCTTACTTGGGAAGACAAATGTTAAAATAAAGCTTGAGAAAATCGTAAGGAATTTATACGATATGCTTCGAAAATGGTACATGAACGGAACGGTCATGTGGAAATTTTTAGCCGTCGTCCGGTTATAGAAAATTGTAGGCAATATTTGCTTCTCCGAACAGATATTGTACCGGAAAAGAGTCGTTGGGTGTTCCCGCTTAGTTTACGCCGTAGGAAAATTCGCCTTCCCATCTAAAACTAGACACATGAAAATATATAATAATATATAGATTTAGCCAGGGCTAAAAGCGAAGCTCCCATTAATAAATTTAGAATTTAAATCAAACAATAAACTTGTAATCCACAAATCGGTTAACTTTAAGGGAAAGCTAAGGCTAAGTGATTTTAGAGTGAAAAAAAAAATCTTACATCGAATTGATAGCCGTATATATACACCCAAAAAATAGCAAACATCTTCGATCACATTTTAGAGCCATAATGGCTCTTGATCACAGTAGATTAGGCCTGGAAAACGAATGTTTGGAGAACAAATCAGGCCGAATTTTTTGCTTTCGACAAGTTTACTTAACAAAAACTTGCCAACAACTCTGGGAGCGTGTAAACCAACATTTCATACTTTTTACACATCACATCTGAGACAGTGATATGAGGCGTTGTTTTTATCATATAGACCTCAGACAAAATGCAGTATTTCACAATTTTTCAAGACAAATTGCACTCATTCAATATTCAGAACCGTACGAAGCACTCGTGGGCTTTTAGCAAAACCGTTCAAATAATTTCCAAAATCATTTATACGGCCAGCCGGTTCTCACTTTTGACAAGCGCCAAATTTTCAGTGAACATTAAACGAGTTACGCTTCAACGTAATAAAGAATTTATTGTGTTTATTTTTTTTATTAAATGGTTTTATAACGATGTGCAATCTTAAAAAGCGTTTGATACGAGCAGCATTTTGAGTACTCCTGCAAGCGTTGTTTATGAACGACTGAAAACAAACTGCAAAGCGATTAAAATTGTAAGAGACTACTAACAATCAATAAAAGAAATGTAATTCGGTGAAACATTTACAGAGACAACAATTTTCATTCACGAAGACAAGTATTAAAGCGTCTCTAAAAACTGAGTCTTTAAGCTTAAGCTTAAAGCTTTTAGCCGGCTTCCTGTTGTTTACTGTTTTCAAAGATGAACTCAAGAAAACCGCTCAAAGCTTTCTTTCTACAGCCAAAATTATAACTAATACTCTTCGGAAAGTTTTTTCGTTCTATATGCGGAGAGAAAATATCGACTAAAGGCTTTTTAAAGTTCTGTAAGCTTATATATACTAGATTAGATCATTGTCTCAGATCTTAACACAAACGTGCATAAATTAGCCTGATAAACTGCGCTCGACTTCATGAAATTAGATATAAAAAAACAAACATACACTGTATACAATAATTACTTAGGCTTGCCATTCGAGATGCAGCTCTTGAAAGCTATAAAGTAAGGCCAGAATAGCTTGAGGGACTTTTCGACCCGCATCCAGCAAGGTAAAAACGAAAGCGATGCATCCGAAATCGGATTTCCAACTTTGGCAACCGGCGCATTTCCCGACCAAAAATTCAATAAACAAACCAGCCATGAATCAAAGAAGACTGTTGATAGCAGCTGTATGTCAGTTTAAGCATCCAGTGGAAAAATACAGTAAAAGACATCACAAGTTGACAAAATACTCTGTCAGCTTCAGCTGTCAAACTGAAAGTAAACAAGGTTCAAGATGCTGTATAAATCAGTTTCTGCATGAACTCACCTGTCAAATTTTGACCAATCAGAGCATAAAAAATTGGACGGTCGTAGAGCGTGATCAACGCGTGACTATGGTGAGAAAAGTGAAAAGCCTCTGTCTTCCCTGCTTGTATCTTTAAATTACTGGCTGAATTTTCGAGTCCGAGATCAGTTTGAAATCAAAATGTTAATAGCGCGGGGCCATAGTGACATTAACACAACACTTTCTGTCATCATGTCATTATTTTGCTGCCGTTCTCTTTGCCTTTGTATTTCTCTTTCGCGTTGCCTTTGTCTGTTCATTCGGCTCTGTCTCGTTCTACGTAGAAAATTATAGTGAAAAACGCCGGCAAGTATACTTGCCGGCGTTTTTCACTATAATTTTCTCTCCTTCTTCTCGCTCTGACTCTTTCTACTTGCTTTCTTTTTTTCAAAACCAGTTGCGCGATATAATTGCGCGACGTTGCGCCATGCGATTTCCCGCCCAAAAAAATCTGTACTTTCCCCTACCCCAAGAGTCCATGCGGACTACTTTCCACTACCCGGAAAGTCCGTACGGACGGACGTACGCTACGTCATAACCAAATTTTCTGGGATGGATAGTTTACCAAATTTTCTTACCCATGGTGCTCCGCTACGCGCGCGCTTCGCGCGCGCGGGAGCTCCGCTATAAGCTATTATTAAAAACTGAATCATTGGATAATGCAATTCTAGCATTTTGATTGGCTTAGCCGTTATGGTATATGAGCTAATATACCATGCTCTCCATATATGGTCGGTGTACGCGTCAGTTTAAAGTTGGAAGCTAGCTGAGATTTTTGTTTCGCGAAGGATAGAGCGGCGCCTGAAGCAAATCGTTTTAATTCATTTCTTAGAATACTAGAAATGCAATTTCGTCGAAAGAAAAAAGACAAAAACAAACAAAAAAGCCACAAGAGCTTGTTTGAAAGTTTATCGAAAAACACATGAAAATGCATGGAACAAAAAGTACCTTGACCAGCTACGAAAGAAGACAAGTGTTGTTTCTTCATGATCGCGAAGCCATTCGCCGATCGAGTCACTCGCCGATAGATAAGTGCGGCTCGTTTATCCGACATCAAGAATATAAATCACAAGTAACCAGCTACAAATACAGGCTATGCAGCCATTCACTAGAGCAATCGAGGCGGCAGTATAGCTTCTTTTCTCGTTCAGCAAAACCAGCTTGTGGCTTCAAACAACTTCATAACAAGCGACCGAGGTAATAGTTTTTCTCCGTTGTTCTTACTTTTATAACTGCACCGAAAATCCAAATTCACAGTAATTTCGACGGCTGTCACTTAAAAATTCTTTTCCTTCACATTATCTGCCATGTTTTTTTAGCTGTTCTCCTGTGTAAAATCCTAGAATCTCGATGAGTTTTTAAAAAACTAATGTTCATCCCTACAATGTTTTGATTTTTCATTCATACAGTCCAGGCGAGTCCGTTCGCGCGTTGACAGTTTTGATAGACGTATGACATGTGAATAGCGGAAGTCCCTTGTCTTTTCCGGTTTGTTCTAGTATTTTGTGGGCGTTTTTAATAAAACAATTATTCCACTCGCGCTTGTTAGATATGAGATGATTATAGCCAACTCGGCGCTACGCTCCTCGTTGGCTATCTATCATCTCATATCCAACGCGCCCTCGTGGAATAATTGTTAAATATAATACTAGTCGATCGTTTACTAGCCTGCGAGCAAGCTCTCCCGACGCTCTTGTGTCGGGGTGGGAAAAGGAAGGTGAACGGGCAAGGGCCAATTCCAAAAACACAACACGTTCACGATCAGCAAATGTTTTTACTATTAACGACCCATAAAAGTAAATTCCTACAAAGAGCGAAAAAATAATAGCTACAATACAGAAAAACTACTTTAAGGCGACTGCAAAGTGAGATTAATGAAAAACGATGAAAACGAAGCTGCTTACCAAATGCTGAGGATGACAAATCTACTTCCACTAATGCTGTTGCACTAATAGACGCATAAACTGGTAAAAAATAAGGGCGAGATAACAAACTATAACGAAATTTCCATACAGCACGTAACAAAGGAGCGTAATTAACAATATACCGGAGAGCGAAAAGAAAAAGAATACACGATATCAAGTAAGTGAGAAAACGAAAAACAAAAGGAAAAAATTTGCCCCAACATCCTGGGGGGTTTGACTGAATTTAACTGATTCAGCAAAATAAATACGAGGAAAATTTAAAACTAAGAGTCCGCCAATTAGAACCTGGTCATTTGAATCAGTCTCTAAAACTCTCAAGTTTCGATAAACACAGTTTTAGACAGCTTCCTCCAACAAACATAGCTTAGAAATTGGTCTAGTTAGAGTAGAGTTCTTCGTCTTAATTTCTGCCACACGGACTTTACCGTCTCGTCCTGGAAAAGTCTTGATAACACGGTCAAAGAGCCAACATCCTCGCGGGGAGTTGTTATCCACAACAAGAACTACATCTCCGATCTTTAAGTTGTCTTTCTCGCGTATCCACTTCTGGCGTTGTTGCAGAGTTGGGATGTACTCTCGTATCCATCTTTTCCTAAAACAATCAGCCAGAAATTGCGCTCTTCTCCATTGGTTCCTTCTGTAAAGATCCTCGCGGTAATGTTCTCGTGACATTATACATGTAGCCACTTTAAGTTGATCCTTAAATATTTATTCCTCATGATCAGAACTTTTATTAAGAATCCTAGTGGCAGGAGAAAGAGCTAGAAAGGTGTAACATTACCGGAGAATATGTTGAATGAGGCTCAACGTGTGAATAAAAAATATTCATAAGCTACCGAAAGTTAGTCGGAGAATTCTGCATAGTAAATGGAGAATTCTCCAATCTCTGATGTCTGATGAACACGCTGATTCCTTTTACAGCGAAATTCATTGCATCGCGCTGTGCATTTTGCAAAATTCGAAGGATTGGGTTTTTCTGTTCCATCAATCATCTTAGTGGACCTCTTAGGAAACACATGTTTACTTGCATGAGTTCAAAAGGTCCTGGTTTTTATTATTTGTGATTGGTGGATTTCGGTCTGTTTTGTTTGTTTCATGTTTCAAGGTTCGTTGCTTTGTGATCGTCCTGTTTCAGGCAATAGTCGACTAGTTAAGTTTGCTTCGTAGGTTTTACTGATCTTTCTTATTCTTGTCACTTGTAAGAATAAAGCAACATCTGCCTCCTTCCTTCCTTCGACAAAAAAATCCACTCACCATTGGGATTTCCTTTGCTATTCCTGAGCAGTCTAGAGTCATTCTCAGCCAAGCTGGGCAAGCATGTTACTGTCTGATTTGCATTAACCCTGCCTTCACTCAAATGATTGACAGAAGAGAAAAACCCAAAATCCCGTCGAACTTTGCGATACGCGCAGCACGATACAACAAATTTTGCTTTAAGTGTTTGTATAAACATGCTGTTCCCTAATTTTTTTTTTTTCATACACTGTTGTGTTTCTAATGAAGAGCATTTGTATAAACATCAATTGCTTATTTTTACTTTTCTTTTTCTTCTTCTTTTTCTTACCTCACTTTTATTTTTATGTCCTTTGGTTGGATCGATGAAGAAAATTTGAATAACTCTGGCATATGCAATACACATGATTTTTACTTTTCAACTACTGATTCACAATCAATACAGAACTCACAGGACATGTTATGAGTTAGGCACTTTGAAGACCTTAACGGCTGTTTTAATGACATTTTTTAGAGAAGTAAGGAAGTATTTAACACAGTTGTGATGAAAGCAATGGTCTACAATAAAAGCTATTTATTTTTTTAGTGATAGGAATTATGGAGTTCAAGAATGTTTGGCGTTCACAGCCATTTACAGCTGTCAGTGCAATCAAATTATCGAAAGATAGTTCGAGTTCATATTACAACACTTACAGTTACTGTTGCAATATGGCTAAGTTGTAAGTTAGGAAAAGGTTAAACTCAAGGCAATGCCGGGAATCCTCTTTATTGGCACTCATATTCACTTTCTTGCTGCCCTGTCAGTGAGACCATTTTGTCTGCTAATTTTGAGGTAAAGCCACAACTTGATTTGTTGCTCTTAAATTGCAGTGGTAATGCACCAGAAACAAGAGGCACAGCATTTGTAGTGTATGAAGATATCTTTGATGCCAAAAATGCTTGTGATCATCTGTCAGGCTTCAACGTCTGCAATCGCTATCTTGTCGTTCTCTACTACCAATCTACCAAGGATAAAGTAGACTAACAATATTATTTGTTCAAGGCAGGGCTGTCACTTAGACAGCATGACTCCTGGCCTCTTTCAAGGGAAACAAAAAGACAATAGAACCAAAATAATATTATTTTCTGGCTGATCAAACTTAAACTATTTTGCAATTCCCTCGGCTTTTCTTCATATCAAGGTTCTACTTTCCTTTAGTCAAATCAAATGTTTATTATTTATTTCTTTTTTATTCAGGCTTTCCAAAAATTGGACAAGGAAAAGAAGAGACAGGAATTGGAGAAAATGAAAGAAAAATCTGGAATCAACAAGGGCAAGTGATACCAAAGGAGAAGACCAGAAAATGTGTTATTTATAAACAGTACTTTTATACCAGGGAACTTTTTTTCCCGAAAGTCAGTTATGTACATTGTAGCACATAGTACAAACAACATTCAGAAAATGGAAGTATAGGTTGTAGCCCAGTTATGTTGCAGTACTTTCAAACACATTAAAACTTGAATAAAGTGTAGGTTATTGTTCCTCAAATGTTTTGTTAGATGTAATTATTATCTATAGCTGTGGAAAATAGTTGAAAAATATCTCTTGACGGTGTAAAGCATGGCAATTTGAATGCATTCCATAACACTCTAGTTATCTTTGTTTTAGTTCAATCAAAATTATAAATGCTAATTTGGTTTAAACATAGCTTGTCTTTCTTGCCAAATAAAAATCTGAATGTTGCAGAACACATACCGTAAATCCTCTGGAACGCTGTGTAACCAGGGCCACATAGACAAAGTTGACCAATCAGATTAAAGGGAAGGAACAATACACTCCAAGAAAGTTGGTTGTGAGCCAGTCAGCAGCTCGTAAGAAAACAATAAGTTACTCAAAGCACAAAATTATAATATTGATAGCAAACGTTTTTCAAGAAAGCAAAATATTTCACCAGACAATGTTTTTCCGTTCGAATCTTAACATATTACACCCAGGAGACATATTTGTTTTTGGCACAAGCTGTTATTTTGTCATCTACCAGCAATTTCTTCGCAACCATTGCCGTTCTGTGCAACTGACATCACAACCTCTAGTCAAAAATTTAAATAACATCTATGTTTTTTTGCCTGCATCATTCACTGTAACGGACCTCTCAGGAAACACAGGCTTTCTGCTGCAGGTTCAAAAGGTCACGTCTGTAGGCTGTAATTGGTTGATTTCGATCCATATGGTCGGCCATTTGTTTCAAAATTATGACACGATATACGTGCGGTTTTTTCCCATGTATACTTGCAATCATTCCTGCTACACGATATACGTGCGTTTTTTTGTCACGTATACTTGCGTTTTATTCCCAAGTATATGACCATTTTCTTACAAACGCGCATATATATGCGCACAAAAAAGCCCATATATATGCGTTACAAACAAGCATGTGGTATATGGGGTCACAGAAAGTCGTCGTATAAGAGGCACCGAATTATACCGTCAGCAAAAACCCCTTCATGTACGATGGAGCTGAAAAGTAACTTCAGTTTGAATCAAGCATGGCCGCAATGGCCGCGTTAATTTCGAGCAAGATTTGGGTCTTATTCATTGCCCTCACAGTGGTGATGGTTGTTGGCTCCCTGACAACGGATTTGTTGGAATCCGTGGATTGTCTCTTGAGAGACTGTGTACGCTATTTCACAAATGCTGACCGAAACAACGATCGATTCAGTTAGAAATCAGCGTCAGACAGGCAAAACACGACTCATAAGCTCTTGATAATGTGAAAGATGACCTTGAGAGTCTGCTTGAACAGATTGGTTTCTCTTCTTTTCTCTCTCGCGCGCGAATTATCACCTTTTCGCCTCCACGAACACTTTCTAAGCCTCCTAGTCTCGAAGCTTGTTATCATTTCCCTGGTATTCTCACACTTTAATAGCCGTCCACCTGCCTCTCTTTCGTTCGAGCTCCTCCACTTTAATTGTGATTTTCATGGTTCTCTAACTCGTTCTCGTTCAACTTGCATAAAATGTCCCTGAGCTATCAACTTGCTATTAGTTCTCAAGCCCCGATTATTTGGAAGGATAGTTTATCTATAACTTCAGTTAGGCGTTTTTTTGCAGCCAATGGCAAATCCGTGTTTTTCATTATAGCAGCTAGTTTTGCTCTCTGCATTATAGTAGCAACTGACGAGGAACTGCATTCTTGCAGAATTCATAACATTCGCATAAACACAACAGTAAATTCCAACGAAGGAACAACAAGACATTGCGCTTTTGTTTAAAGACTCACTTCTGATCTCCAAAAACATTAAATGGACTGCATCAGGCTATCAGCGGTTAGAGAATGATCTTGACTCACGCTGAGCATAATTCTCCATACTTGGTCGGTAGCTTTAGTTTAAGCTACCGTGTACAACTCAAATCTGAAGATCTCAGTCACTATTCGTGAAAACTCAAAATCCTTGAAACCACACTTATGAGCTGAGCCCAGCGTCAAACTGACATAGGAGCCCGGGAGGGGCGAGAGGCGGGGGGGGGGTACTCAACAAATTCTTATACGGCGGAGGCCCACCCCTTAACCTTTTACGTACCATTTTTCACGATTTCGTATACCTTCTATTGACAAATGGTATACTCTTTTCACATACCTTGCTTCGAACTTTGTACCCCTTTTAACTGCTGGAAACCCGCACTGTCATAAAATAGGAATCAGTCAGAAATGTAGAACGTTTTCTCGACGGGTAAGGGGTTGGACCTCCGGGTGGAGCCTCCACGTACAAATATTTGTTAAGTACCTCTCTGGGATTTCGGGCGGAGCCTCCCCGTATAGGCCATCATAGGGGGTACCCTCCCCACGGGCATAGCTAGAAATAATCACATTTCCGGTCAAAGAAACTTACTTGCATGAATGTAGTTATTCCGCAGATCCAGGATTTGCGGAGAAAACCATAGAAACTAAAATCTTTATTTAGCCGTAATACTAAATCTGTGGTCAACTCCCAGCAGGAACACCTAAAGAACCATAAACCACAGGAAATGATTACTCAGTATGCATGTAATTCTCAGTAGTGTTTAGTAACTTTAGCTTTATTATTCCAACGTTCATATAGTACAAAACTCAGTAAAGCCAAAGCCGGGGGCTTATACGACCTGTAGTCAAAATGACAGAAATTATTTTATGTAGAAATGAATCCACTGGAGGTTAAATTTCAAAACTAAAGAAACAAGATACAAAACTTAGATTAGGTAATGCAAGCAGTCCTATAGCAGAGATAAAACTAGAAGTACAAGTGACAAACAAACTAACAATAAACTATGATAATCCTGCGATAATTCAACCCAGGCTTAAAAAGTAAAGTTTTAGTTTCTATTTAAAACCAGTGGTGGTAAGGCTGTTACGGACAGTCAAGGGTATATCAGTAGGATATCCTTGGCCAAATAATCGGGGCTTGAGAACTAATAGCAAGTTGATAGCTCAGGGACATTTTATGCAAGTTGAACGAGAACGAGTTAGATAACCATGAAAATCACAATTAAAGTGGAGGAGCTCTAAGGAAAGAGAGGCAGCTGGAAGGCTATTAAAGTGTGAGAATACCAGGGAAATGATAACAAGCTTCGAGACTAGGAGGCTTAGAACGTGTTCGTGGAGGCGAAAAGGTGATAATTCGCGCGCGAGAGAGAAAAGAAGAAAAACCAATCTGTTCAAGCAGACTCTCAAGGTCATGTTTCACATTATCAAGAGCTTATGAGTCGTGTTTTGCCTGTCGGACGCTAATTTCTAACTGAATCGATCGTTGTTTCGGTCAGCATTTGTGAAATAGCGTACACAGTCTCTCAATAGACAATCCACGGATTCCAACAAATCCGTTGTCGGGGAGCCAACAACCACTACTACTGTGAGGGCAATGAATAAGAACCAAATCTTGCTCGAAATTAACCACAGGTAACCCAGGCTTTGTGATAGTACCACAGTACGGTTCCAGTAAAATTACAGTGTTTGTATGGGGTAAAAATATCATCCTAAAATTTCTAGGAAATACTAAATAAAGATCAATGAAACTTACTCTGCAGTTAATTGTTGTTGTCCTTATTGCTCCAACGAAGTTTCGTGATAATTTGCAGTAATTTGTTCAAATTCACTCTATCTACAATAATAATATACAAGGTAGGAAACACGAGGTGCCATTTTCGCCGACATGCTCTCATTCAACACAACTTTTTCCACGAAATTCGAACTCCAACGGAAAATAAACATGCCAGGATCGTAGAAATAGGATAGCAGCAGATAAAGAAACCAATGAAGCTTTCCCAGATAGAGAAACGAATCCCACAGACTTGGACAAACTCGAAGAATATAATCCAAACACACCGAGAATACGCTTGCCGAAGCAGCCGGGCCAGATCAACGCGCGGCCAAGAAAATGAGGCCTGGGCACTGTACAAAAAAATTCCATCCCTGGAGTCCTGGGGTGACCTTTCTAGGGACCGACACATCATTTGCCCAAAGCCACCCTCCCCTGCTGGAAGAATACTTGATGGAAGGCAATTGTTCTTCCTAGCCAATCAATATTTGTCAGAGCAAACCCCGCACACGCGCCTGAATTTAAATGGCTAAAAAAAAGTAATATAATCAGGAGAGTCTGCGGAGTTACAAGGCGTCCCATTTCTTTTACTAAGGAGTGCAAATAACAGTAATGAAACTAATGAAATAACAACGCGAAATGCTTACAAGGCGGGCTAAAAACAAGGTTGAACAAAAGGTAGATGATGACTGAGATACTGTTGCTGTGAACTGTCGAGCGAAACTATCGTAAATAAACGGTGAAGCTTACAAACTAATGTCAAAAATTATTCAGAAAATTGCGACAGAATATGAATTGCGATAACTGAGACGAATGTGAAAGGCACGTGCACTAGTAAACAAAGAACTAGCGCGATTAACATATTCAGCGATTAATGCGGCAGTAACACGCCGACTTCTTGTCAATACAAGTGAACGCTCTATCGGTTAAATATGTGAATCATCGTGATACACCTGTCTTTGAATTTGGTCCTGTTGTAAAAATGCCTCGGTAAGAGCCAAAATTCACTTATATCTTTAGCTCGTTTTAAGTTTTGTAAATCGTCCTTCGTTGTTCTTTCCTTTGCCCTTATAACCTTGCCCTATGGATGTTTGATAAACTTTCTGAGGACCAGCGCCAGGAGCTGAATATAGTTCGAGAGGAAAATAATCTCTTTATAACAAGCCATAGTGATTGGCTAGGAAGAACAATTGCCTTCCATCAAGTATTCTTCCAGCAGGGGAGGGTGGCTTTGGGCAAATGATGTATCGGTCCCTAGAAAGGTCACCCCAGGACTCCCGGGATGGAATTTTTTTGTACAGTGCCCAGGCCTCATTTTCTTGGCCGCGCGTTGATCTGGCCCGGCTGCTTCGGCGAGCGTATTCTCGGTGTGTTTGGATTATATTCTTCGAGTTTGTCCAAGTCTGTGGGATTCGTTTCTCTATCTGGGAAAGCTTCATTGGTTTCTATATCTCCTGCTATCCTATTTCTACGATCCTGGCATATTTATTTTCCGTTGGAGTTCGAATTTCGTGGAAAAAGTTGTGTTGAATGAGAGCATGTCGGCGAAAATGGCACCTCGTGTTTCCTACCTTGTATATTATTATTGTAGATAGAGTAAATTTGAACAAATTACTGCAAATTATCACGAAACTTCGTTGGAGCAATAAGGACAACAACAATTAACTGCAGAGTAAGTTTCATTGATCTTTATTTAGTATTTCCTAGAAATTTTAGGATGATATTTTTACCCCATACAAACACTGTAATTTTACTGGAACCGTACTGTGGTACTATCACAGAGCCTGGGTTACCTGTGAATTAACGCGGCCATTGCGGCCATGCTTGATTCAAACTGAAGTTACTTTTCAGCTCCATCGTACATGAAGGGGTTTCTTGCTGACGGTATAATTCGGTGCCTCTTATACGACGACTTTCTGTGACCCCATATACCACATGCTTGTTTGTAACGCATATATATGGACTTTTTTGTGCGCATATATATGCACGTTTGTAAGAAAATGGTCATATACTTGGGAATAAAACGCAAGTATACGTGACAAAAAAACGCACGTATATCGTGTAGCAGGAATGATTGCAAGTATACGTGGGAAAAAACCACACGTATATCGTGTCATAATTTTGAAACAAATGGCCGACCATGCCATAGTATGATCCATGTTGTTTATTTCGATTTTAATGACTGGGGACTAACTTTCTCAGAATGTATTGTTATTTTCCTGTAATCCGATTGGTCAACTTTGTCGGGGTGGCCCCGTTATCGTAGCCGCACTGTAAGACTCTTGTTCGACTAAGGGTGAATGTTTTACTCTTCATCGGTGGAAGAAAATTCATGGTTAGCCAGGCGTGAACAATTTAATCATTCATGTCTCGACAGGGTCTGGAAAACAACTGCAAATGTTGATGTTTTTTACAGCACCTCAACATTAGGATGTAAATTCGCTGTAAACAACAGATTGAGTATAAGTAATTGCTCTTAACAGGATCCAGGGCCTGTGCAAGGACTCAGAAGACAAATGTACTTGAACCAGTATGAATTCTCGGACTGTTTCTGATTGGCTAAGAGATTTTTGACACCGAAGGTAGATCTGTAAATAGTCTGAAAGTGTTATACGCTGTGACCAAGACCCTTAGAAGGAGGTGGAGATCCAATCTTGTGTTTACTCACAAAATTCTCTTTAACACACCGTTTTACCCAATAAACCTATCAAAAGATAAACAATTATCGTGGATGGGTTGTAATTAAAGATTTGAAACCTTCGCTACAGAGTGAACTGAGAGAAGGACTAGATACCCCATCGTGTTTTCGTCAACAAACTACTGACAACTTTTGATCTCCTTAACATTATTTTTTTTATTGTGTGTGCAGTATATATTACTACAAATTAACTACTAAGACTACGTTCACGTGGCACTGGACGAATTTTCAACTGACTGAAAAGTTTGACCAGACACTCCGTTTACATGGGACCATTCAATATTTTTGCTCTGTTCACACGGAACTTTGAACAGGTAGGCGCCCAATTTTTTGTAAGGTTAAGGTGGTTCCGTGTGCAACCACTTGAAAATTTGTCTCTTGCCATGAGAACGTAGCCTAAGAAAGCATTAATTAGAGCGATTTTCGTATGACCTTGAAATGAAAACGCGCGAACAAAACAAACAACAAATGAACGGAAATAGAGCGATTTGGTTGGTTTGTCGAACGGATACAAACGCGTGTTGCTTTTGGTCGGTTAAGCGAACGTTCGGGTGAAAAAACTTCATGCCTGAGAACTTTCTAGAAATCAATCGATACTTCGCTTTGACGTCATACTGCAACACGATTGGCTACTCGAACAATGCCTTTCTTTGGCAGAAAATGAAGAGTCCATGTTTTGAACTTTTCATCCATTGGCTGATAAAACAAATAACTAACACTAACCGAAACCATGTTTCAAGGTCATACGAAAATCACTCTAACCTGATCTTTTCATACTTTTGTAGGTACTATGTTCCCCAGGAGTGATAGACTCCAGATTCTCTCGTAGACTACAAGCAGTCTCTCTTTTCTCTTAGTCTGTCGAGCTGTGACTGAGGGCACCCTCTTTTCTCGTCCCGCTCAACACACGCGTGTGTGCACTCCACGCACTAAATTCGGAGCTGAAGAGAGACTGCTTGCCGCCAAAAAGACCTTTCTACATTGTAGCTTGTACGTTTTGTTTTCCCAATTCAGACCACGTGATGTCCTCCAGGGAATTTGCCTTTTGTCCTTTCATAATTGATGCACAGATTAGCTACCATCACGTAGTCTGAAAAGCGAAAACAAAAGATACAAGCTAACAAGGTCTATTATAATGTGACGCGTTTAAGAACCCAGAACAACTGTTCGCTAGTTTAAAGCCAATATTAAAACTGATAAAATCACAAGTCTATTACAACACTTAAAGTAATCAACGTGGACCCATCTTGTCTTGGGGTGCGCTCATGCTCATGCTCTTGGGATGAGCATGATATTGACAGAGTTTTCAGCCTGAGCTTTAAAGTTGGAATGCTTCCATTGCCGAAAACAAGGGACGTTTGAAACTTTTACTTAGCTTGAACAAGTGAAAAATAATGGCTGTATATGTCAAGTAAGACGACGTAGTATGGAATTTTGGGAATGGGGGCTGTGTGTCGGGTCTGAGTACAGTAGCGTTAACTGTTTCTCTGAACTTAACCATTTGAAACACTGCAAGCACACTTCTTAGTCTTACGATTTGAAATAATTAACAAAGAGTAATAATTTACACATTCAAAGAACGATTCTCTGAACGCGATTATTTACAGTTGGTAGAAATTTATCTCAGTTTTTTGAGTCCCCTATTAATACCAGTTTTTCTGACTCTACACATTGCTGTTTCATTATTGGGATACCTGTGGCAAAGCCCATAGTTATCTGATTTCTGTAATTGCAGTCCCAAATTAGCCTTCTAACACAGCCGTCTCTCCCTGCTTCACACCACTTTGGACGTTTCGCCGGCTGTACGTATTCGCAGATAGGCCAAAATTTCTAAGCTTATAACTCTTAAAAATATGGAAACGAGGCAGGTATGTTTCCCTGCTAGCAAGAGTCTAAGTTTCTGTCTTGACGAGCTAAAAGTAGAGGTAGAACTTTTAGCACATGTGCCAAGAGTAACTAAAAAAGTAGGCTCTGCAAGCAGAGAACTACTTTTTTTTTCTCACTTTAATTTTTAGATTTTGTAACATATTCTTCTCTCACATAATTAGTAACCAAAGATTCTTCAACCAACTTCGAAGAGGAAGTTACTTTTGATTAAAATAACAGGGAAGCCCATGGACTCAAAATTCTAAGCTTGATTATATCTACATTCATCAACCCGGAAAACTACTATTATCGGTTAAATACAAGTGATATAAGAATCTAATTATAATTAAGTGAGATAATGGGTAAAATCGAACTACCATTGCGAAAAAATTAGGAAATTATGATGTCACTGATACGTTATTCTTTGTGCGAGATGACGACGTTTTACCAATGATATCATAGTCCAGTTGTGTTTTTGAGTGTGATTAAAACTCAATCTTGGATGTTTTAAAAAATTAAAAAATAAACTGCTTTCCGGCTCCAGAAATTACTTAGCCTCCCTGCAGACGTCCTTTGGGGTTCGCTTGTCACGCATGACAAACGAACCCCAAAGGACGTCTGCGGGGAGGCTAGTAATTACTGGGACTTTCATGAAACAACCTTTTGAGGGAATTTGTGTTTCACAATAGAAATTATATGGAGGCTGAAAAAAGTTTAACTTGAGTCTGTGATCAATTAAAGGCTAGTAACTGGTCAGCGGAAAACCGTAAAAAAGTAAATGACCTAGCCTGCGAAAACATCCGTTTCTCCTCGCTCTTCGCCGCTGGGGACGTTTCGCGCGGAGGAACGTCTGCGACTCAGCGACAGAAATTCCATGCTGATGACCTAGCCTGCTAAAACATCCGTTTCTCCTCGCTCTTCGCCGCTGGGGACGTTTCGCGCGGAGGAACGTCTGCGACTCAGCAACAGAAATTCCATACTGATGACCATCAGCATGGAATTTCTGTCGCTGAGTCGCAGACGTTCCTCCGCGCGAAACGTCCCCAGCGGCGAAGAGCGAGGAGAAACGGATGTTTTCACAGGCTATAAATGACTTCAAAAAGTTGTTGGACTTGTTATTCGCCGCCAGTAACCTCATATTTGACTTAGGTCTAAACGTTTAGATCCAAGTCAAATGTTTTCGGATTTGTATGGAGTCATCAGAGCATAACTGGGCTAACACCTCACAGACAATTTGTCCCGAAATGCTAGTTTTTGGCAAGTAGGCCTCTTGGATGTTGCTCTTTTCAGAATATCCTGACAAATCCCATAATTTCACAACTTAACACTTTACTCTTACCATATTTCATTTCTTACTATTCCAACGCATTTACAATTAATCAGTTCTTCAACCACGACGCCTAAGTGTACGCTCCGTAGCATCTTGTTTCTTAGTGATAGGTAAACTTCGCTTTTATGGCAAATCAACATTAAATTGTTCGAAGGAAAGTCAAAATTCAGTTTTAGGAGGGAGGTAGTTAAAGAAGACTTTTATTTTCGGTTTATTAATTTCCTGCGGCGGCCTTCGAAAAAAAGTATTACTTGGAAAATTGAAATGAGCGAATATACATTCCAATTCCTGATATAGTTACTCTTTCTTTTCACATTTTATACAAAGAATTTGGAATCTGTTATAACTGAGGTCGGTTATCTTGCTATAACGGTGCAGGTTCAGGAGATCGTTCTTAGAGCACTTTCTATTTGTCAGAACTGACCGGCCAGACCATTCCAGTCATAATGAGATTTTCACTTTTAATCAAAACTATCCAGCCAGATCAGTCAAATCCTAAATAGCATGCACGAAGGAGATGGCTTTTCAACAAAAACCCTTGGAAAAAAGCATTTCAGTTCATTTTGAAAATGAATGGTCCGAGCGGCCAGTTTTGACTTTTGGAAAGCGCCCTTAATGTCGGCTACAGGCTAATTCTAGACAACATTATTAGCAAAAATGGTTAAATTTGTCTAAAGCATGTTTCCTTGTTGTTGTTAATGAAGTGGTTCCTTCTACATTTACGGAGTTGGGTTAAGATAAAAAACCTCCACCTCATCCGGTAAGAAGTACTTGCTACCGGCCAGGATTGTGTTCGGGTCCTGCACTGCAGCAGGAGCAGGGTAGTCTATGCCAAGACGTGCTAATGAAGTCCCGTCCTCCTTAAGCAAAATGATGATCTGGTCCTCACCAAATCCTGGGCCACACCTTGAACTTGACCAGATTGCATACGATGGCCACCGCAGGTTATTAATCTTAAAAGGATCCAGTTCTTCTTTATTACTGATCGAAAAAACAAACGCATTGAAAGTGTAGCCATATCCCTCTCTGGACCCTAACAAACAGACAAAAACGCAAGGACTGACGTTTGAAAAAAAATCTAATGAATTGCTGTGGCTAGTTTCGCTCCCTGCTTGTTTTATATTCGTTATCATACAAGAATGAACATATAAACTAAAACAAAAGGCTTCTCAATGTACGGGTGGCCAATCCACCTTATCAACTTAGGAGCAACCCGCTATTACCACGCGCAATGCCCCTTATACAATTATCTTCTTTTGTCATCGGCAAGAAGAAAGACTAGTTTGAAGGGGACGATACCTTGTATCTGTAGCAACTGAAAAAAAGTTCAAGTTCAAGTTTTTTTTTGAATATATTGCTTTTCTATAAAAGATCGCTTTACTTTCATAGACATGTGAATAGTGCACTGCTCTCCAGTAACATGCGCCCATGAAGAGTTTCGTTTCCCAATACAGGAGCGTACCTACCCGCACCAGCCATAAAAAGCAATAATAAAAATTGCGGAAAAAATAAATAAACGGTAAAAAAAATTTCTCTAGAAAACAGACAGTTTTTTGGTAACTCAAACTTAACTCAATCTTAACAGGCTTAACAGCAAAGAGATTTCGAGGTAGTATCGGTTTCGCAAACTTCAACTATGCGTTGTGTTCCTTCTTGTCTAATCATTAAAACAAGCTATTTTCTTACCCCATGGAATGTCCGTGTATCCCCCAAACACGTAACTACTGTTCTTTACGATAGTGACAGTGTGGTTCTTTCCATCACAGTGACTGTGAAACTGTCTGGCATTGAAGCCATGCAAGGTAGCACGCCAGCATAGTAGCCAGTGAGAATTATTCCCAACCGCAGGCTCCAGGAATTTGTCCAAATAATAATTATAGGACTGATTTGTTGCCAATATCAATGAGCCCATGAATGCTATAAAATAAAAATGTTCAAATTGGGACCTGGGGGCCCCTTTCTCAAAAGGCTCGGTACCTTTTCGGGCCCGAAGGCAAATTTTAAACTCAAAACCTGTTGAATAGTAGCACAGTTCCTAGCTCACAAACCGGTCAATATTGCTTCGTAAACTGATAGTTTCATTGTATCATTTTCAAAATTACTGAAACTTTGATCTTGACTGATGCAAACACGGCAAACACAAAACAGATTTTCGGGCCCGAAAGTTACCGGGACTTTTGAGTAACAGGAGTACATTTCTCCAAAGTCCCGGTTACTTTTCGGACCGGAAAGCTATTTTAGGTTATCCATGTTTATATCCAAGAACAACTTTTTTTGAAATAGATTTGAAAATGACAATGAAACTATCAGTAAACGAAACAAAATTGAATGGTTTGTGAGCTAGGAACGATGCTAGTATACAACTGATTTTGACTTTAAATGCTGCCTTCGGGGACGAAAAGTTACCGGGACTTTCGAGAAACGGGTCCCAGAGGCCTGTTTCTCGAAAGTCCCGGTAGCTTTTTAGGCCCGCAAAGCTATTTCGTGTTTGCCATATTTACATTCAAGATCACAGTTTCAATAATTTTGACAATTACATAATGAAACTATCAGTTAATGAAGCAAAATTGATTGATTTGTGAGCCAGAAACTGTGCTACTATTCAACAAGTTTTGATTTTAAAATTCGCCTTCGGGCCCGAAAAGTTTTTTTTGAAACGGGCCCCTGGCCCCTCTCTCGAAACTTGCAGGTTGCATGAGTACTACTCTTCTGATTGGATAAAATTACGCGCGAGTCACGCCATACACGTCATTTATCAACTCGGACCCGTAAAACGCGCAACTTACAAAGATTTTGTTGCAGAAATTAGAACTACTCTCTACTTTCTGCGATAACCTTTCGCATGATGACCTGCGAAAACCTGAATCGTTGCAAGATAGGTTTGATTCGCGGGTGGTAAAACGC